CAACATAACTGCAAAGCAACTGGCCTCTGTGTCCAGGATGTGAACATCAGACAACTCGCCGTCTCGGAACCACAGGCAACACGCGGGTTGGAGAACGAGGATTTATTACATATGGCGCATCGGACACCATGAACTTCCGAGGTTGTTTCAGGCCTGCTTACTGCCTAAAGCATAAATTCATGGTCCCTAGCTGCACCCCACCAAAACCTTAAAGTAGGTCACCAAATAACCTTTGAACAAGGGGTCATCAGATAGCTGCTGTCACAATGGTGGATGCTTTTTACCGTCCTAGGCTGCAGAACTCTGATCAGGAGCCAGAACCAACTATTCCATTTCCATATGGGAAAGATGCGAAGCCTGAGGACCCAACCCGAGTTCCAACACAAGTCTCGAAAGGTTCGAACAAGAAACTCACATGAGGAGAGGGGTCGCGGGCTAGCGGCAGGGTAACGCTACCGGAAGACGGTAAAGAAAAGGGAAGGATGTGAAACGGCAAGGGGCAAGGCATGTCTGAAGACCTGGAGAGGCAGAGGTTTCCAATTGTGCGCTTGGGCTAAAAGAGCTTATAACAGGCTTGTCCACGCTAAACAAAATTCTTGAACATTCCCTTGCCCGGGGTCCCTTGCCTGTCAGGCAACATGGGACATGCGCCGCCAGGGAGGGAGATAATATGCCGCAGCATGCTACATCAAATGGGCGCACACACAGCTGCACAACTTCTAACTTGGACAGGTTTTGGTGAAGCAACTAGACAGACTGCCGACTTTCAGCCAACTTTTCCACCTGTTGTTGTGAATTCTCCATGCTTGCACTGGCCATCTGCCAGCTTGCCAGCAGATGGGAAGCTCCTACTAGTGGTTTAGTTCCAAGAAGAAGAAGGAAAGCAAAGGATGACAATCGTAGATGCAAGGGTAAAAGGGCAGATAGCCAACAAAGACGAAAGGATCCCAGAGCAACAACAACTCAAAGTGCTGAGCATGGTGACAGTGACCGCTAGGCCTGCAAACAAGAATTCTCTACCCTCTGCTACACAATTTTAGCAAAACGGCCCGTGCTCCGACCATACAATCTATAGACCTGAAAAGGCCGAATTCTGAATCTTCGCCCCTGAAACTTTGACCCTCCGGGCTCCACACCGCTCCCTTCTCCACCAAACACAATTAACTGCCCCAGCTGGTTGATCACGAGAGTGTGCCACTTTCGCGCAGCCTTGGGTACTTCCCATGGCGAAGCTTTCACCCCTCGCCCCAAACCCAGCAAGTCTAGCAGTTGGTTTGAAGCTGAAGCTCGGCTGGCATTCATTTACTACTCGATGCTTTTGGGGATATATGTGCGAAGCATAACAAAAGTTGGGTGCAGGCATCAGGCGTGAAGCTGAAAAGTTGATTCTCTTGCCGCTGGTATCTGCTAGTCATCACTGGTCGCAGCCTATCTGAACTCACATGCTGTCACACCGAAGACTACGCGAGGAAACACCCCCCAAACATGATCTGGGATCTGCAAATTCGCTGAACAGCAGCTTAGCCACTGGAGCTGGGCCAGTTGGAGTATGGGCGGTCCAGGTGACCATGCCCTGCTGGCATCTGATTCACGTAATGCGGGGCCATCCAAAAAAGAGATCTAGCCCTCGCGATAAGAGGCTCAAGCGTTCCATAGTACCTTTCTGCCGAACTCGGATTCCTAAGACGTGTAGGGGAGGCAAGACGCCATAGACAAGTCCTACTTGTATCATACACTGAGGCACATTGAATTGTTGGAGCGCACGCGTTGCCCTCATGTTGAAGCGCGTTTGGAGCAAGGAAGCTCCATGCTTGAGACTTGAGACCATCAGCATTCAGACCAGCACCCTGTCTTTTGTGCAAACGATGTTTAAACCCTTCTCCGCTGCAGATGCGCAAGGTAGACAGTATCCCAACGTGTTCCTGGGATCCCGACATGATGTGTTTGCCAATGAAATACCATGCATACCCAGTCATGGAGCCTGATGTGTTCAACAACCTTATGGCCCCTTACCTGAGGATTTATGGCATGATATATCTGATATGACATTACTACTGTGCGTTGACCATGCTCGCAATGTGCTCTGCGTGGTGTTCTCAACATTTCCGCCTGAAAGCCATCCCAAACCCGCAACATGGTGAAACTATCTCCAAAAAAAAGCGACCCCATCTCCTTCACAGCAACGTGCGCGATCCGAGGCGGACGCGCGCTAGCGCTTATAACATAAAGCACCATACAGCCACGGTGTAAAGCGCATCTTCTTCACGTCATGCTTGACAGACCGAGCATGGCTCTTGAACTTCGGGGCTGTGGGCCAACTGCTGCCATTCTTCCTGGAGAGCTGCAGGGGCTTAAATTAACAGAGGCCCCGACAGCTCAGGAAGGTCTGCCAATTCTCGGAGAAATAGTTCTTTTCCATCTCATGTCCACCACTCATCGACATTCTTAAATGGCTCAATAGCTTCATAATGCTTCATAGCACGATGCAGCTCGAGGCCCCGGCCCAGGCTGAGTCCTGCAGGATCAGCCTCACAAGTCGCATTAAGCGACTTTGTGCAGGGTGTGATGTAATATGGCATGACAAGGTGTGACACATGGATGTCATGGGTTGTGGCACTTCTTGCAGGGTTCGAAGTTGGGTTCACTCGGCAGTAAAAGCGCGCGCAGCATCCGCGCGGTATTTGGTAAGCATGGTTGCTGAATGAACCCCAGCTACGCATGTTGGGGAGGTGCAGAGGATTGTAAAAGCTGCCCGCAGGTCCTTCCAAGGTTAGAGTATGCCAGCGTGAAGTTTTTAAGGTGATGGGGGTGTCCTACCGCTATTGCTGAATGGAAGACGATTCAGAGAACAACCCTTCGCGTGCCATCAGTTTGCAAATGCTGTAGTCATGTACGCGGGAAACTTCATCCCTGGGGGCCACGACGGCTTGCGCCAACTCTTCATGCTTTCCTTACTCGGAGGCCAAATTCTGAACGAAAGGTTTGCCTTTGACTGCAGTGCACGAGTCACTCTGCGGGGTCTGTAGTCAACATGCCAGGCAGTCTGGTCATTTTGCCTCCTGTACTCCACACCCCGCAGGCAGACATCAGTCAAGCGAAAACCACCCAGCCCGGACGTGGACAAATGGCGGAGGCGAAAAGGTTTGTTTTCAAAAGGAAATTAACTTTAGGCTGACAAGTTTGTTTCCGCACCTGAAACGTTTGTTTCTAAACCTTCCAACGGCGGAGGAGAAGAGGGAGGGAGGGGTCGGGGGGAAATAAACTAACTCAGAAACTTTGGAAATGTTTGTTTCATGGGCAGAAACTAACGTTTTCCGGAAATGTTTGTCTCATGGGCAGACACAAACGTTTTCCGGAAACGCTTGTTGCTTGGGCAGAGACTAACGTTTTCCGGAAATTTTTGTTTCATGGGCAGAAACTAACGATTTCCGGAAACGTTTTTTTTTGGATGTTTTTGGGCAGAAACTAAAGCCAGGTAACTAACCTTTCCGTTCAGAGTTACTGTAGTTAATTTCTTCTCAGGTGGGGGGGGAGTGCCCGAAACCTTCCAGGGCTCGTCAAAAACATGCGTCTGAAACTAATGTCTCGCATCAGGGTTCCAAACTAAGTCAGAAACTTTGGAAACATCTCTTTCATGGGCAGAAACTAACGTTTTCTGGAAACGTTTGTTTCGGGGCAGAAACAAACGTTTTTCGTAAGCGTTTGATTTTGGGCAGAAACTAAGGTTTTCCGGAAACGTTTGTTGCATGGTATTCCAGGTTTGTTTCCCTCTAGCGAAACTGAGTTTTCCCAGAAACTTGAGCTTAGTGGGAAACTGTGAAACTAACTTTTCTCAGAAACTGGAGTTCAGGGGAAACTAACCTTCGCCGTAAAACCATAGTTTCCAGTCCCAGTAAAGGTTTCTGGAAAAGGTTTGTTTCCCTCNNTTTGTTTCCCTCTTACGAAACAAACCTTTCCTGCGCGAAACTAACGTTTCAGAAAGGTTAATCTCTGACCAAATAGTAAACATTCAAAAGGTTTCTGGGAAACGTTTGTTTCTAGCTAAGAAACAAACTCGCGTCCGCCCCTTGTGCCGACATGTGGACACGGATGCTTCCTGCAACTTGTCTTGGCAACTGCCCTGGATTCTGGAGGCCCTCTGAAAACACCATCTCAGGTTCACGCAGAAGCAGCATCTTGGCCAACAGCTCGGAGGACACCATCATGTCCATGGGCTCCAGGATTTGACAACGGTCACAGTAGTGGTAACACTTTTTTTTTTACGACAGGCTTTTGAAATGCTGCTCGTGGTTGTCGTATGTTGTTATGCAGGTCATGACGGAACATGGCCATCAAATGGTTGCGGTGAGCTCAAAAAATCTTGATCTCCGAGCATGATGAATGGTTCAGGTCTTGAAGGGATCTACGGCTAATCTAGGGCAGCACTCGCATCTGTCTCTCAAACCATGAAGAGCCGAGAGGTATCCTTCGCGTTTGCCTGCATCCAGTGCATGTGGCCTGAATTCCCCGTGTTTGTATGCTTGGTGCATTCCAGAACGGAAAGGGCAAGAGCCCTTCAGCTTGCTTATGTCAAGGTTCTGCCGTAATCTGATGGGGCACGCAAGTCTGCCTGTGCTGGGCTGACTAGCTGAAGAAGCTCCAACTGCATTTCGGTAGTACTTCAACTACACGAATTTGCAGCACCATCCAGCAAAAGCTCATCTTGCATCATCTGAAAGCCCGCAGGGATCGATGAGAGCACTGAAGCACCTAGTTGGCAAGGCAGACCAAGAATCGCCAAACAATCTTCCAGATATTCTTTGCAAGCATCGCAACAATGTCACCCCCAAACTGCGCTTGTGCGTGACTGGGCAGTGATGTTGACAAAGTCAGCAGAAGTATCGTAGCAGAGTAGCAAGACCACAGCCGTGAAGCTGACAACGCGCTAAAGCCGGCCAACCAACGCTGGCACATGCGCTTTGCACGAGCAAACTCAGCTGGCAAAATTGAAGCGGGAATTCTCAGACCTTGAAATTCACGGTCGCTTGCTCACCTTGCCGAGAAAGGCAATTAACAGCAGTCACTGCGGTATGGATCGAAAGGATGTGGGCAATACAAGTTGGCATGGCAGTTCTGTGGAAGTTTGCATAATCTGAATGAACCACCATGGCACTGTGCATTTTTCGCAGCCTTATAGCGCCTAAGCAAACAAGCACCTGACCCAGGCCCTTCCTCTGCCGGGTCTGTGTTCTAGGTATGCCTGATACTCAAGAAACTAGTTTCCACTTTGCGAACCGCGCCACTGGTTCTCCACAACATCTCCATGACCGTTGGATCCTTGCAAACGGCACATGACCATGGGGCTGAGTACCCTTGCTCTCTGAAGCATGAACATGAAATTCCGGCAAAGGCTACAGATCTACCGGAGTCGAAAGCTAATAGAAGGCTGACATTCATGATGGCTTTAACCCTTATCCCATGCCAAGTCACAAGCTGAAGGTGTTCTTCAAGTGTAGGGGGAAGGGGTGGGGGGGAGTGGTAGTGCCTTGGTTTTCTCTGGTGGCCTGTGTGTGTCTCTGTGTGTGTGTGAACCACCTGTCTGCCAAGGTTTCTTTAGTTACTTATGCAGGGGGGCAGCGGCCTTCAAGCAAACGCTGCCTAACAAAGCTATGCTTGAAGGTGGATGCACAGTCTGATCTGCGTGTACCTGCAAAACAAAATGGTCGGCATGGGCACTTGATAGTGCAGCTTGTGGCCAANNTGTCAGGCAGGCACAGTCATGTCCACACATGTCAGTGTATTGCAGTGGCGGACATGTCAAACATGTCGTTTGCAGTTTTGCAGTTGTGCGGAGCCAAGAGTTTCAGTTCTTTTTCGAGCAACTATGGCAAGAGGTAAGCCATGGGCAGAGCCTAAATCCTCTTATGATCCAACTCCTCTGTGTTGGCAACGACTGAATCATGAGATTTCCCAATCAGTCCAGAGGGAGGATTGCACAAGTGTGGGGGATGTCCCGATCTGTATGCCGTGCGGATGCATTATCAGCATCATTGGGGCTCCCCATGGCCTCGGGCGACCAACTTGCCTATCAATAGCATCAACGGCTCTGTCTCTCACACCCATGGCCATGGTCAGCAGAAGACGACGTGCTTGCATGGCAAACTGGCAGGGGGATGGGCAGTCGTCGAGCTGAAGCCTGTGAAAGGGTGAGTTCACAAGAAGGGCCGTTTGTGCTTGTGCCCATCGAGTCTCTCACCTCGGTGGCCTCGGGCAGCCAACATGCCAGCCTGCGGTCCGTGGAACATTTCATATGACATTGCAGCGGGTACGTCCTGGAGGGGGGGTTTGGGGGTGTAGGGAGGGCATGCATGCGAGAGCGGTTAGGAGGCATAAGGGTGTTGGGATGACCTGACGGGCACATCATCAGCATAATTGAGGATCCTTGTCCTAATCCTGCCAAGTACAACTTGTAGCAGGGAGCATGCGTAAGGCTAGGAGTGAAGGGGGGATTTCAAACGGCTGGGTGGGGGGTGGGATGGCGGGAAACCTGAGACCATTGTCTTCGAGATATAGGTTCTCTAGCGTGCAAGCCAAGGATCTGTCTCGTAGGACTGTTTCGGGTTTGGTACGGCTGGACCACACATGCCGCCAAGTCTCCTGCAGAACCATTAGAAAAGTAAGAACACACTCAATGTCTAAGGCTTTCTAGTGCCATACTTACAGCATGTCCGGGAAGTAGTTACAGAGGCAAACAAAAAAAAAAAAACAAGCCAGCCGAAGAACTTGGGACCGTAGAGGTTACCACTCTGCGCATCCGGGTGGACCATGCAGCGCAAAAGGCCCATGGCTCCATCCTCCTGCCAGGTGAACTGAGTGAACAAAACTTCAATTCCTGCTTGGGGAACCCCGGTTGAAGGCATGAGAAACCAGGGCGAAGCATGCATGATGCGGGAAAGTTCGGCCACGTGGGTTCGTGCCAGAATCCTGTATTGGATTATTTGTTCGATTTAGACCTTGACAGACTTCACATACTCAATGACTTAAGGCTGTTTCTATTGGAGTCATTGTTCTGCACTTGCTTGGGCGAGCGAACGTAGGCGTTAAAGCTGAATCAATAGTGTTAGCTTTGGTCCATGTCGTTTTAAAGTGAAGCATGATCGTGGGTCGGCTTTCAGAAGAACATCTTGTTGGAATTGTAGAAAACAGTCATGCATGTTTCCTGCTGGTGTTTTAGTTGAAGAGTTCCCCATGCTCGCTCTAAATCGCAATCAAAGGAATTGAGAATCATAAATTGGCAGAGATATGAGAAACATGGGGCGGAATGGGCAAAAGTGCGTTGGAATGTTTAGCTGGGACAGTTACTCGAGTCTTGCTCAAAAGAATCATAACAAAGAATGAAAAACCCTCGCTCGCGCTACGCTGCCCACTCCGAGCCATCTTTGCCACGGGCATTGGGAATCGCGCCGGACGCACCCTCACAGCATCGGGCTTAGGGTTGAGGCGTTTGCTTGAGGAACAGTAGAAGGAATGGAACGAAAAGAACAGAAAAGATTAGCATTTAAAAATTTCAGCTGTAAGGTGTTGGGGTCTGCGGCTGTTCACGAGAGGAAGTTGGACAGTGCTGTGGCCAAGGGGCTCCGAGTCTTGGACTGGAGGTTTGTCGTTCTTCAATTTCTTTAGCATTCCCTTCGCATGGCAAATTCAGATGACGTCCCAGTGTCAATAACAACAAAAAAGCTTCGCCGGCCCTAAGATGCTTTGGCATGGAAGTTGAACACCACAACATCTTGCAAAGGAAGGAAACCCTCCCATAACTCTCATCAGATTTCCGTGGCATTCTTTTCTACAGTTTCCTTGGCAAAAGGTTATGAAACCAATCATTCTCTTGGAGTTAATCCACTGTGACCATTCCCCCTACAGAAATGGAGGGGGCGGATTGTTGGGTAGGAATTTTGTGACTGATAAGGCCCGGCGGGAAAATTGCCGCAACCTCCCCCGCCCCAAAACAAAGAATTCCAACAGTCAACACCAACAGCCAACCTTTCGGATGGCAGACTTGAACCTCCGGGTCCTGCGATTGCATTAGGAAAGTCTCCATGGCCGTCAAAACACAGTTGAGGAAACATGTTGTCTCCATGCCGTCGCCCAAATTTGTGGTGGACCCACCTGGGCAACAAGTTCAACAGTCTGACAATGGCTGACAGCTTGTCTGTACCACGCACAGTGACTGGCACTTAACCAGGGATACACGTGACAATGAAAAGTTGCAGGTGCTGACGTGACAGGATGCGGTAGAGGCTGCTTGCTCCAGTGCTCCTTTCAAGCGCCTAGAGTCTTAGGATTGCCGCGGCCCATCACAGCATGCAGAATCTGACGCTCGAAGCTTTGAAGGGCTTGAAGCCCCAGACCAAAACAAAAGACTGCAACCAAACTTCCCAAAACACAATACCTTCTGGAGCCATGAGATCTGAGCCACCCGGGTGGGCACAAAGGCTTGGAACCTTGGAGGCCTTGGCCTGCAGCTTCTCCTAGGAGTGCGCAAGGGTTCAGATATGTCGCAACGTTGTGGGTTGGGAAGGTGAGAGTAACATAGTCCCACGCCCTAGTGCGAGCAAAAATCACGCAGGCATTGCCTTGCCAGATGAGGAGCAGGGCACCATGAACACACTTAAGCGTTCCAGCAGGTAGGTTTCCCCACTGGCTAGTCAGTCCCTGGCCAGATTCTTCTTTTTGTTCTGCTGTGTTAATTCTACTATGATTCTTGTTGTTGCTGCTGATACCAACAGCATCCGAGCGCCCAGCCCAGACCTTCAAACAAACGTGACAAAAACCCTCTGCGCGCTCAGCCCGGAGATAAGTCAAGTGCAGCTTCAAGTGCATCTTGATTGGTGTTTACCAGCTCTCATTTGATGCCTGATTCTACGGATCCTTGCTTGGGGTAAGGTGAGGGCAGTTATACAGTTACAAATCATGGCGCGCGCTGTCAATTGCAAGGTTGCTGGCAAGGATCATGAAGCGCGTACGTGAAGACAGTGTTGGCCAGTTTGGACTGGAAATACCGCCAGAAACATCCCCCAGCCATAAACTTTATGTCGTTGCCGCCGAGGTGGCCACCATTCCTACATGATTAGCTCATGGAAGCTCTTTGCATAGCTTCATGGAGCACATGTACTAGCCTGCTGCGAAAAATCTGAAAAAGCTTGCTCAAGAACATAATACAGTAGACAATCAAAAGCACAAGTGCGCATGTGTCAAACTTTGGGGCCGTCTATTGCCCTTCAATGCGTAACCATGCCTACAAGCGCGCATACCCAGTTTGACACTGGCATGCACACATTACAGGTCGTCAGCTGGGCGCTTCCCAACGTACTTCTCCTCCAAGCCTTGGTGCTCTGTGTAGAGCCGGCCCAAACCTGGCAAGACAAAGTTCGGAATCAGGCTGGGTTTCAGTGGCAACAATCGAGTGGACTTGTGTTTTGCACCTTTTTGTTTGGGGGGGGCAGACTTTTTTGGGGGAGGCGAAGGACGCCTCACACGAGAGTGCGATTCTGAAGCAAAAACTGTGAAGAATGATGAACAATTATGAAACATGATGAACATAATCAAAACACTGAATATGATAGCAAGTGATGAAAATAATGAACAATGAGAAAAAGATGAAACATATGAATGAAAATGATGGATATGAAGGAAAATAATGAAACATATGAAACCCATAAGAATGAGGAGAACACGAAGCATGCATTGCATTTAGAAAGGCGGGGGGTTGGGGGGCAAACAAAATGATCTGCATAATTACCCTTTAATGGTGACATCATGCTTTTCTGCGACAGCAAGCTTGGATGACCTTACAAAACTGGGGGTTGGGATCATGGAAAATGATGACATGATTTAAAACCATGGCAGTGGCATAACAAAGGCGGAGGAGTTGGTGGGGGGGCTGCCCAACCCCCAACTGCATAACACCCCTTACTGATGACATGATGCTCTGTTGTTTCAGCAAACTTGGAAGGCTGCAAAAAAACGGGGGTCGGTTTGGGGGAGGCGCAGCCCCCCCCCCCCCACTTGCAAACAACATGAAACGCATAATCTTCACTGTGCTAGCAGTTCAGGATTTAAACCTTGCATACTCGAAAGCAAACCTCAGTACACTTGCAGTAGACGTAGGACCAAGGCACTGGAATGGTTGACAACGCGCGCGTCGCCGGATTCCTTGGCCTCGGCCTCCAACAGTGGAAGCCTAAGCGTCTTCCAGTCTGCGTGCTGAAAGTCGATCGTGATGATCTTACATTGGACCTCTGTGTACATTAGCAGGCCGAACTTTCGGCTGAGGTGGCCGCTACATTTTGGCATCTGAACGCAACAGACTTGCAACTAGTTACATTCCCGGAACGGCGGGACCTTGCTTTGGAGCAAAGACTTACCCAACATTGTGCCGAAGCCATGTGAGAAGTAGAAACAGGAAAGTACATTTAATGAATATAAGATAATATAAGGAAGCTTCCGTCCGCGAGTTTCCGCGGACTTTCCGCGAGTCCTGCGCAAAGACTGTTGGCACATGTTGGCAGCTTTTCTGACGCTGTGCTTTCGCAGGCTCTTCCGCGGACGTTTTCGTTCAAGGTGTTTCCGCGGCGCTTTCGCGAAAGGGATTTCCAGTTTTGGGCGAGTTTGGGCGTTATCCTTCCGAAGAAAAAAGGGCTCCCGCAAGAGCTTCCGCAAACAAAGTGTTTCCGCGAGAGCTTCTGTGAGTTTCCGTGCGCACAGTGGGAACCACTTTTTCGGGAAGTTGTTGCCGGACGATTTCCGATGTTATTTCCGTACGTAGGTAATTTTCCTCTAGCGCCCCCTTGTTCAACTACCGAAATATGCCCCGAAATATTCGATTTGCCCGCGGAATGCTTTGTGAAAAATCGCAGCTGTTTCATTGTTTGTTGTCTTGATGAGGTGTTTGTTATCAAGTTGTGTTGGGTGTTGTGCCTCGATGCCCGGACGACTTGTCTCACTCAACACCATGACGGTGTCCGTCCTGTCTTCTCCATTGAACACAGCCACCGGACCGCAAGACTGAATGCAAGGAGTCCAAAAAAAGATCGAACACAATTGTGCAAATGTATGCAAACCATATCCAACTGCGATGGATGCACCAAGACCCACCGAAGGCCGCAGACTGCCACGAAATGCAAACAACTGTGAGGATTAAAGCTACATAGATAACTGACACAGGCAATATCAAATACTGAACGTTGCCACTTCCCGGTCAGCGCTCACCCAAGTCGTTACATCATCTATGCAGTGTGCTTTGCACTAATCTTGGCCAGTGCAGAGTTGGACGGTGCAGTTGAGAGTTGGGACTTTGGGACTTTACCTACCGTGCAGCCCAGAAACAACTCGGCAGTGAGCAGAAAATGCGACAAATGATTCGTCTGCATCTGCGTGTCGTACCCATCCTTGCATACGCCGGAGAACATGAATACACACATCTGACTATTGACCGACGCTCAGAAATGCTTCCAGAATGCAACAAAACATGGCAGATCATGGGTGGCACAAATGCACCAATTCTCCAGGCATCCTTCGTCGCCTCATCTGGTTTCGCAGCAATGCCAGCATTGTTGGCAAGGCAGTAGAGCTTGGCATACCTTAAAACTTGGCAGTTGTGCGAACACCAAAGAATGGCCTATTGAATATACAACGTGCGGCCTGATCTCATTGAAACACATGGCATTTTGTCCGGTAGCCACGGTACTTGGATTTGATCTCTGCAGCTGCTTTCCGTACGCTGGCAAAATCCTGCAAGTCGCACTCCACATCCACGAAATTCCCGTGCGGGACAATGGCTTTCAACTTGCCCAAAGCATCATCGACCCGCTTGGATTTGCGGTTTAGCAGCAACACTTCGCCACCTAATTCTGCTACAGTCCATGCCGCCACAAAGCCGGTGCCAGATGTGGTTCCAGTGATGGCCAAGACTTTCCCTTCCAGGCGTGGAAGTTCTTTTTTGAAAGCCGGGAACCATTTGGGGCTTGGCATTTTACAGCCTGTGATGTCGATATGTGCGCAAATTGGCGACCTTGAGCCTCTGAAAGCTGCCATCATCTGACAATCATTATCCAAACTTTTCAAACCAAAGATATGGGTCTGAAACCCTTCCCCCAACTTCCAAACTTCCAGGCGACCCTACAGCTCCACATGGAATGGATTTGGGACAGTGGCTTAGCCAAAACGATCTATGGATGGGGGGGAGGTCTATGAAACTAGGCAAAATGCATATGAAAACAAGGAAATCCTCGACGTCCTACGTTTGAAAATGTAAGATTACGTGAACCTCCGTGCGCCGCTACGAGTTTAAGGGACCGGGTCTCTTTGAACGGCGGGGGATAAAGAATGAAACGAAATGGCAAACTTTCTTCTTATTATTATACTTTGAGCAATAAACAAGTAACTCCCACAAGCGCGGAATACATGTTGCGCAATGAATCGCCTCCCCCTTATGTTAAACGATCTTCCCCACTTCCCCCCCCCAATATTAAAAAATCCGGGGCCCGAAAAATCATATAATATTGCGGTGGATATTTATTGAACGCATCAGCTGATGGGGGTTGCCTCTAAAAACAGTTTCAAATGCACCCGTTCGTGATTTCCTTTCAATTGAAACTTGTTGAAAAACAAATGGAAATCAACGAGAAAAAACCTTGCAACCGACACAAATTCTGATTGAATCAGTTGAAACCGAATAAAAATCGGATGCTACGTTAATTTGGTATTTTTTTGTTTTCTCTTATTTTTTGGAAGGTTTCAGGCGAGGATTTTACACGCAAAAGTGATGAAAAATAATTAAGCATCATGAAAAACGGAGCATTAATGTGAAGCGCGTGAAAAATTGTGGAAAATTGGTGAAAAATATTAACATCGTCATGAAAATGGGTGGAAAATTATTATCCACTTATCATGAGCAATGGTGAAGATGATGAAAATGATGGGAAATGAAAAAAAACGGTACATCATGAAAAATGGTGAAACTCGTTCCCATCATGAAGAATAATAAAAAACTGAAACGTATGACAAATCGTGGACACGGCTGAAAGATGATAGGAAATTATGCGACGCGCTTATTTGACACGGCAAGCGCGGGCTGTGTCAACAACAGGGGTCGGGGTGGGGGCAGCCCCTCCCATGCGCAAACCGCCTGCTAAGCTTTCTGCCTTGAAAACATGGTGACGACATGATGCCTCATTATTGCAACACGCATGGATGGCCTTCGAGAAAAGGTGGGTGTTGGGCGGGCGGCTCCCCCCCACCTTGCAAACAAGAACGATAAAGGTGATGTGGAAACTATTTGAGCTGTACGCACACCTATGAGGAGCATGGATGAATATCAGGACGGCTGAGAATTCTTGAGCTTTATTGATGAAGCACCGGCCAAACGCCAGCTAGGCAATCATGTCAACAGCCGCTGGACAAAGAATCTTCGTCTTACCGGGCAAACAACTGACAGGCATGGGCATGCTCACAGGTCCGGGGGCAAGCCAGTGGCGATGATTTGCAGGCGGCGGTCATCTTGTCGGTCGACGATGACATTGAGATCTCGCAGAGGTACATTGGTGGCGACGGTTGCACCGGTTTTGCGGATTTCCGCAGCTGGGGGCGCAACATCAACAAGCAATGATCCCAACCATCATCTGGGAGCTGCTTCGCGGGCCATCACGTATCCAACTCAAACCTTGACAGATGCACCCATCTTTTTTTTTTCACGCACCTTTTT